TCTGTCTTATGAAAGCCATGCAGATGCTACCAATCTTTCTCATTTTACAGGGATGTCACTTGGACTGCAGGAAGGGGCTGAAGCCTCAGAGGGGTGTCCCCACCTTCGGGCCAGCACAAGCCACCCTGCAGCCTCTTCTAAGCTCTCCTGCTTTCCTCTCCCCTCTGGGATCTGTCACTTTTGGGTCCCCAGGAGGGGAAGTGATGAAATCAGCAGGAGCTGTAAGGATTTTTTTCAAGCAGGCCAGCAGTGGAAAGGGAAAAGCACATTCTCTTCCACGTCTGGTTTGCCTCTGTGTGTTTAAGAGCTGGCCTGCAGCGGGAGCTGGCACTGAACACACCCCAAGCTTAGATTTGCCATCTGTGGATGGGGCCAAGAGCAGAGGGGAAAGTGTCTGCAAGCTGGGTGCACACTTCACTCTTAGGAAATTTAGTCCACTCTAAGGGTGCCTGGCTCTAACACAAGCACATCCAGGCTTCTGTGAAAGGTCTGTACGGAACAACAGAGCCGATACTGGGCATGGTCAGAGTCTAACCTGCCCCTGATTACATATATTTGTAACCCAGACACCACAGACGTGCTATGCTCTGTGCCCTCCTGCAACTTAAAATACAACCCTGGCTTGAAGGTCTCTATTTGCAAACATAGAGGAACAGCGGTTCCTAAATTGCATGCAAACATTTGACTTCACTCAGTGCAATTCAAAGAATATCCTGCACGAACCCCACCCTTCTGCCCAACAACTCAAGCCCTTAATGCCTAGACAGTTTTCTTTCAGGCCTTATCACAGATAAAATATGGCCCTTTTTTTTTTGTTGAAGGAGTAGAACCTGCCAAATATTTACCAACTATTTCAGAAGGCTGAAAATGTCACTCCTACAGTGTAATAAACTTCCCCAGAAAGGCCCTGATAAATAGAGAGCCTTGCTGTACTGCCCAGAACTAGTTTAGTGTGGCCTAAGTATTGCCAAGTCTGACTAAGAAAGCATATTTGTACACACAGAAAGATTAGCAAGAGAGGCATAAAGTTTAGACGTGAAAATAAAACAAAGCTCCATTATTAACTGGGGAGGGGGGAATAATCGAGTCTGCATCCCAGAGAGCGAAGGACATTATGAAAGCTTCAGAGCTAAACCAGTAATTTAAGAGTTTGTCCACAACTTGTAGCAGAAGCTTTAACCATCTTCTTTAGCATTTGGAAAGTGCTAAACTGTGGCCTACCCCCAACCCAGCCTTCAGAGCAATATTATTTAAAAATAAAATATTTTTACTTTGTAATTTGACCCACAAAAAGTCATTTGGGGCAGGAGGGAATGTTCCCTTCCAGCCTGAACTTTAATTCAGAGAGAATGTTTAAACTCAACAGTGTAAAACAGATGCTGAGAAATACATCTGCATTGCACTGTATGTTCTTTGGGGCACAAACAAAAGTTGCAAAGTGCCTGTCAATGCACTGTGTATGGCTACGATCTAAATAATCGCTCATAATGTAGATGAATTGAGAAAAAAATACATCCCTAGTATCAGCAAGTCTGTCAACAGAGTTCTAGCAGCTACAAACAACTACATCCATGCTAGTTCAAACAGATGAATGTTGCTTGAAAAAATGTGTCCTTTCACCTTGGCAAATGTCATTAAGAAAAAAAAAAATTCTAAAAGTGACTAGGGAGTTGGAAGCTCAAATGTACACATTTAACAAGCCCTGATGACCAAAAAATGCTGAGCACTCACTCCCTACAGAAGCCAGGCTTTGACTGAATCATGAATGATGCACTCAAAAGACAGTAAGTAAAATTATACTATACAGCACTCCAAAATAGATTTTGGGGGGACAAAACTTGCCAGAGTTACTTAAAGGCAAGAAAAAAACCCCCAATTATTACTGAAAAAAAAAATTTCCAGATTATGTTAAACCTGACAAAAGCTTAACCCAGCAGTTTACCCAGCTTTATAAAGCAAACCATAATTAAGAAAATCTCCTATGAAAATGGTAACTTCAGTTTAGCCTACCAGCTAGTTCAAGAGCCTGAACAGCAACACAAGCTCAACAAAAATCACTGCTTGCCAATGATACCCATGAAGTTGCACAAAAAATTGGAAGGAGCATGCTAAAGAGGCACAGAAATATACTCCCTGTTCCCCCCTTTCACGCCATCAGGTTTTAATGTTAATGATACTGCTCCGCGTGCTTGAAGTATTTTTACACTATGCTCGTCTTCTTGCAGCTCCATCTTGTTCCAGGGCAGATGATTAGAATCAGATTTCTGTGATTTCACTGCAGATTAATTTCATTAAGAGCTACAGATCTGCAGGGAGAAGAGGGCTGCAAACGGGCCAGGAGAACGGCCTCTAACAGCGCTACAGCACTCTTGCCTAGAAGGGTAACAGTATTTTTGCCTTTACTCCTCACTTTCACATACTTTCCCTTTTTGCGGCCACTAGACGCGAGTTCTTTGGAAAAACGGGCATATGGGGAAAAGAAACGTGCTGAAAATTCTCCTTTAAATTTTGCTTTCAAAGAAAGCTCCCAACCAGTACTTATGAAGATGTTTATAAAGAGAACAGGCCCAAGGCAGACCTGACTGTACACGCTGGCCCCCAAGTCAAACAGGCAACTGAGGTACTGCACACAGGAAATAATTCTGATATATCACAGTCTGTAGGCCCCAATGCATGTCAGAAGAATAGCTGTTAATATACATTTTAATATGCTGTACACAAGATATAGAGGACTGAAGAAGAAAAAAGTATGTAGAGATCAGCAATACCATTTGCAAATTTTTCCCAACTGTGAGACACTAAGTAAATATTGTCGTTTTTATGGGCAAATGCTACAGAATATAGCACTGAAAACAGGGCTTGTTTGCAAAAATCTCATGGGATCAGAGCATAAAAGTTGTGTGGAGTGTGTAGATGTGTACACACATGCAGAATGTAGACTCCTGCAAAGCTACATCAGAGAGAGAATTAAATTCTAAGTAGCTCAAAAAAAACACACAGGAAGATTTTAATTTTCCATTTGCTTTTATAGACCTTAGCCATGAGAATACTGTTACCACTTGGCCTTTTTCCTTATTCTAGGTCAATATCATTGACTTTACAAGAGAGAAGTAAAAACATCTCTACATAAATCAAAAAAATTATGAGGACCCTCAAAACAATTCTAATCTAGGAACTTCAAATGTAACATAACACAGAATCGCACAAAAGTTATAAATATGATGCTGTATAAGCAAAGAGTAATATACACACAGAGAGTTGTATATATACTGTGCCCAAAGAAGGAGCACACACCAATTCTCCAGTAGTGCAGTGTGCCGAATCGAAATCAAAGACAAGTAATAATGAACATAGGAAGGGTGGAGGTGAAAGCAGTTAGGTGAGTATGAAGACAATTACCGGGAGCCAGGCCACTTGGTATGTATGTGACTAGATATATTTTTTAAAAAAAGGAAATAAAAAAGAAAACAGATGTGTTTTCTTAAAGTGAAAGTGGGCAGAAGGATGCACATGGCCTCGCAGGAGCAAAACCCCGCTGCTGGCTCCCTGCTAGGGCAGGGCCCGGGCACAGCGTCCTGCCAGCCCGGAGCCGGCCGGGCCGGGCACGTCGGGGCCCACGGGGAAGCCGCGGGGACAGCCGCCGGCACCGGTAAGACGCGCACGTTTGAGGCCCTTTCAGAGATGGCAGAAAACAAAATGCACTTACGGTTCGCGGAGAACCAGCTCCGTCCTCTCCCTACGGCCCGTCCGCGGCGAGCGGGGGGCACCCGCCGGCCCCAGCGCCGGGAACGCGGCCGTGCCGGGCACAGCGGCAAAGACCGCCCAGCAGCGCCCGCCGGGCCGGGCCGGGACCCCGGGACCGGCTCCCGGCAGCGCCGCCGCCGCCGCGCTCCGTCTTCCCCCGCTGCGAGCCCGGCAGGTCCTGGGAGCCGAGAACTGGGACTTTGTAGGCCAGTTGAAGACACAAACCTCTCATCTCGCCCGCAAAGACCCAGCCCTCAACTCGCCCATCAGGCGCAGGCTGCGCGATTTCTCATTACTATTTTTTAATTGAACTCCTCTGCTCTGCCCAGTGCTCACCGCCAGCTCAGAGCCCCCGGCCCCCGCCCCGGGGCCACAGGGGACCCCCGCCGGAGCGGGGCCACCCCCTCGACAGCAGCCACCGCCCCCGGCCGGGGGAGGCAGCGATCCGCGCCGCCCCCGCCCCGGACTGGCGAGCTGGCCCGGGCCGGGCCGAGGCGAGGCGGCCCCGGGTCCCGGAGCCGCGGCCGCCCCGGAGCCGGCCCCGCACCTCGGCCCGGGCCCACAGCCCCCGGGCCGGGCCCCGACGCGCATCGTGACTCGGCACCGCCGAGCCCGTGCCCGCTCCTGCGGGAACTTTGTGCGCGGGGAAGGGGGGGAGCGAAAACACCCCGCACGGTTCCAACGGCCGAACGAGCCCATGCCCCTCCGTAACCTGCTCCGAGTGAGGAGGGAGCACGGGAAAGGGGCTCGGGGGGCACCCTGCGGCCGCCTCCCCGCCCCAGACCCGCAGGTCCCCGGGATTACGCGCAGGAAGGACTCGCACTGAACTACAACCAAGTGGGGAGAAACAGCGGGCGACCGCAGTCGCCTCTCCTGCCTCCCGCAGCCCCGTTGCTCGCAGATGGGTATTTAAATCGGTATTTATCACGTTGGGATTTTTTCCACCCTTCCTCTTTGGCCTTGCAAAAGGCAAAATTAAAAAAAGGAAAAAAAAATTCGTTGCCACAAGGGACATTGGAACATTTCTCTCGGCTTTTCAAACGCTGCGTTTGCCCCAGCGAGCTTTAAAAGTCCCGACCCAACAACCAGCAGAGAAGTAGGGGAAAGGGAAAAAACAAAACAAAACAAAACAAAACCAAAAAAACACAACACCCAAAACACCCAAAAGCAGCAATTAAAGAAAAAAAAAAGGCAAAAAACCCAACACCCCAAAACCATCAAACCAGGCAGAGGCGAGCTGCTCCGTGCAATATTACAGCGCAATCCCGATGCGGCGGAGTTTCTGTCCGGCGGCAGACACACATCCCTCGAAAGTTTGCTCCACGTGTTGCAGCCGCGTCCCGGGAGGGTCGGCGCTGCCCGGCGCACCGGGGCGATGCGAACCCGCTCCGCCGCTCCCCGCCGCTCCCGCGCCGTTTAAGGAAGCGGCCAGTCCCCACCCCTACGCCGGGCAGTTCCCGCTGCGACCCAGCTCGGCAGATTTGGAGGCTCTCCCAGGCTGCCCTCCCCACGCCCTGCCCTCCCCGACGTTCCGCTGGCCCAGTCGGCCCCGCACCAGCCAGGAAACGGGCGCCGCGGCTCCCGCCGCCGCCGCGCAGCCGCTCGCCTCCCGCCCTCCTCCGCCCTCCCCCGCGCCGCTCCGCGCTCCTCCCGCCGGCGCCTCCGCCGGGGCAGCCCCGCCGCGCCGACCCGCGCGCCCCGCGGCCCACTGAGGGCGGAGGGCGCCCCCTGGCGGCCGCTCCCCGCCGGCGGCGGCCGGCGCGGGGCGGGGCGGGGGCTGCGCCGGGCCTGGGCCGGGGGGAGCGCGGCGGAACGGGGGTGTCCGGCCGCGGAGGATGCGCCGACGGAGCCGCGGGAGCCTCCTCTCCCCTGTGCCGCTACAAACGCCGGGAGACCCGCGGCGGTACTGCGAGCCCTGGGGATCGATCACCCCGTGGCGGCACCCCCTCCCCGTGCCCTGCAAGCAGCCACTCATTACCAGCGTCTCCCCGTGTATGTCCCTGGATGTCCAGCCTTCTGCACGCCTCGGCGCAGCCATCTAGATCCTTGTCTCTGTCGCAGGGATGTCGGAGGACATGCCCTACCCTCCTGTGCCTTTTCATTCACACACCCAGGACAGCTGGGTGAATGTAGCAGAATGACCGAGAAAACCTGGGCACAAAGTACAGCGATGCAATTCCTATGATCTAGAAAGGTTTTGTAAAATCCCACTCATTTACATACACGCTGAGTTTAAAAAGTGTTTTAAGAAAATACCACAAGGCCCTCAGTAATGTGAGGTCAAATCAGAAGGGACAGCTGAAACGCTATGAAAAAGGGAATTTTCTTTCTTCCTGCTTTTTGGCCTTGTGTTATTCCTGTGCATATCCTCACCTGCTTCACGTGTTTCAGCCCTCTGGACTTTTTGGAATAAAACTTTTATATGCTTTGGATAGCAACCCAGCATGTGTGGGCCCTACCCACAGGTTATAGGGGGTTGGCCAGTTACTGCACCTTCCTTTAATCTTTGCTACAGATCCTCTGAACACCAAACTGTGGAAAAGCGGACTAAACACACACACACCCCACAGGGAGCTTCAGTTCTTTGCATGACCATAGGCCTGGACAGCTTACTCCACTGCAGTAGCAAAGTAGTGACCAGTCCAGAAACATGCTGAAGTCACCAGAACTATAATGAATGGCTTGCAAGGTTTTGTCCTACAAAGAGAGAGGAGACCAACTACGGTTCCTGCGAGATGTCAGCAAAGTGATGTTCACTGAAGATCACAGCAGGAACACAGCTCCATTGAGCTGAGCAGCAGGCCCACAGGAGATGCAGACTAGAATGAGTTTATGTGATAGGACAGGATTACCAACGCATGGTAATGTCTCCAGTTGTTTTTTCTGTACCTGGTAGTAAAACCTCAGCTAAGCAAGAAGCATCAAACTGAGCTTCAACAGCTAAAGCTAACAAAAATCAAAGCTAGCATCCAGAGGACTCAGCATGACATAAATGCATGTCCCTGCTCTCTACACTGGACTTTTTTCCTGTGTCTATATAGAACCCACATAAGACAGCCACGTGCATGCAGGTTGCACTAGAAGCTTTTGCGTGCTCAGAGCTTTATGGTACCAGCACCATTATGGATGTGGCAAGTGACTCTACCTGGCTTGCATGAATAGAACACAACAGCAAGAACTTGAACTGATCTGTCATGTAACTGCTTTTGATCAACACTGCAAAGACATCCTCTACACAGAAGAACGTGTTCTTTGGCTGGAAGCCTGCTGAATATTTAGAGCCAAGGAACATGTTGTTTAAAACTGATAGTAGAATGCAAAGTGAATCATGGACCATGGTCAAAAAGGTTTGAAAGAGGGAAGAAGTTGTATGAGCATTTTGGAAATCAGGTACAGAAATGAAGAATTTCATGACCATCTGGAATGGTGACACCCAATAATTTGTTCTGCAGCAATGATGCCCAGTGAGTACTGGCAGAAATTAAAACTTCCAAAAACTGCATAAAAGACATTAACCTTTTCTCTGGTGAAGGTACATATGCTGTAGAAATCACTTGGGTTGAATGAGAAGAGACCTCAACAACTTTTAGAAATTAAGAAACTGTTACTCTTACAGAGACTGCAAGTTACATCTGCCTTCCTTTTATTCTCATTCTCTCTCTTTTTTTTTTTTTTTTTTTCCTTTTAAGTACTGTTTTTGCTCTTTGGCTGTATCAAAGAACTGCTCATAACACCACAGACCAATGCTGAGCACAACAAATTCATAGCAAATAATGTACCTATGTGTATGGAAGGAAAAGCATGAGCCAGGGAGTGGAGAAGTTTCTTCCTAATTAAGCTGATGGCATACTGCTTAGCTGACGTCCTGACCAACTGTTTAATTTGCTATTTTCAGCAGCCTCATACATGTTGCCTCTTGTCTTCATCTTGTCCCCACTGGTACTGATGTGAAGCACCTCTTAATTTCCACGGGAGCAGGGCAAGACTTTCACACAACAGTTTTGCCCAGCAGGAGCTCTTATGTAGGGCGCCCAACCTCATGAGACTTGCTCAGCTGCTGGCAGCCCACTCCCACTTCCACTGACAGCACTAGCAGTCCTTTGGTGGTAACTGGATAAGGCACATTTCAGGCAAGTCTTCCCTTGGCAGGAGGTACTTCCGTACCTGAGAAGGTCAGATCTTTGGACTTCATCTCCCCTCACAAATACCTGCTGGCTGCTCTCCATGGTGTGCAGAACCCGTGTGCTGGGAATGCATGACTCCAGCCCCTGTCTGGATGGGAGCTGGGAAGAGGATTAGCTCTGCATTCAGTTCAGATGTAATCACAAGCATATCAAGTTGTGAAGTGTCACAACTTTCACAATTCTAAAAATAAACATAAGCAGTTTGTTTCACGCCGTTTGGCAGCCAAAGGGCTAATATATTAATAACATTAGACCAACAATAGCCTAGAACAATAACTACGGAACAATAGATTCTATCACTTCTGAAAATAGCCCTGTTTGGAAAAAAGAAAACATTTTTACAAGAGTCATGAACCAGATGTAGTAGCTTCTTTATAAGTCTCCACAAAGGCTTCACCAAGTGGAAGACTGGTGCGATACCTCCAAAGTCAGAAGGGAGCTTGTGTGGGTGGGAGACTGGACTGCATGTTGCTGACTGGGACATAGACCCCGTGGACGCAGTTTGGAGTAGTTGAATACATGCATTTTTCTGAGTTTTCTTCTTGATCCTGCCTATACTTACGCAATACCTTTCTCTGCAAGTAGATCCACTGATTTGTTAACTTTCCAGTGTGTGGTACTAAGCAGCATGTAAGCAAGCGTGGCTTGTAGCCAGCAGCTTAGTATTTCGGCACCAGACCTTGTTGACAAAGAGACTGGATTGTCAAAGAAATTATACTTGAATAAAAGGTAATGGGAGAAATAATTGAAGCTTCACTGATGGCACAGGATGAAATTCACTGGTCTTCACCTGAAAAGATGAATCCATGCTGGTCCAGAGACAGATTTTTTTTTTAATCAGAACAACAGGAATATTAAGTTTATGATTATAAGTCTGAAATGTGCAAATATGATGTACTGCAAGGAGCTGGCCTGACCCCATGTACCTCTGCAGGAACACCAAGCAGCCAAGTCCATTAAAGATTTATAGAAACTGCAGTCCTTCTGAGATTTTTACTGTGACCTGGCTGTTCAGCTCTGAGCACCCATATAACACCAGTGAGCTCCAGCCTCTGGTCACCACTCAGACATGGTCTGGTTCTCTGCTCACTGGCCAAGGCTCTGCCCATCCAAAGAAACTCTGGCAAATTGTCAGTGCAAGATGAATGCCCCACCATAAATGGGGCCTTCATATTTAAAGCATGTGTGCTTCCGTGTATATGGGGGAGAGGAGAAAATCACAGGACTAAAGAGCTATGATTAAGCTCAGAAATAATGGTTTCCTGTTCAAACACAGAGCTATGTCTCCTCTTAGTACAACTACCTCATCCCCAATTGTGTCTATTAAAGACAATTACTGGGGGAGACAGATATGTGTAACCAGATGTGGGAACGACGGTCATGTTATGCACAGTGCCATATGCAGTTTAAATTCTTTGAGGCTGAACAAGTTACATATTAAAAAAAAATTGTGTGTGTGTGTTTATGCACAGAGGAGCAGCTGTCAATGGGGAAATCCCCTTAGCCCACTTTAATCCTACATTCCACAATCCCCAGGGATTAAACAAATGCACTAACATTATTTACTGTAATGCTCTCTCCCTGGGGGGCTTCAGTCCATGAAATCCACTCCAGAATTTGCAAGTTCCAGTTGTGAAATAGGCTGCGCACATTCTATATTTGGTAGCTTGCAAGTACTCTCTTAGTTGGGCCCAGAGTGATGAAAGGACAGGAGTCAGGAATTCAGCTCAAGCAGAGGCTCACAGGGAGCAGGCTCAGGCTTGGAGTGGGAGCTCAGTTCTTACTACACAGGTCTTACACAGGCACCAAGGCATTCTAGTGACTGCTGAGAGGGGACAGTGTTTGCAGGACTATACAAGGTGCTTTCTTAAAATTAAAGATGCTGCCACTATTATTCCTCCCATATACTCACTGGGAGTATGAAACAAGGCTTTAAATCCAGCTACGTCAGTAAAGCCTAATGTTTCTTCTGCTTTCCTTTTCCTATGATGAAATATGTGTTTGAACCTGGGCACAATCCCTGTGAAATTAGTGACAACAATTCCATCAATTCAGATGCACAATCCTCACAGCCCCAATAAGGCTGTGACAGTGCAAACTGCACAATGCCAACAAACTCTTATGACCATCTGTGTTCAACTGATGGGTCAGAGTGACCAGCAATAGCACACAAAAGTTTCAGCCTGGGGCTCCCAAGAACCCTCCAACATATCTGCAATGCTAGCTGATTGTTCCATCTCTT